CATCACATAACTCTCGGCCATAATATATACTGAACTTGAACATTACATGCTGAACATGAAAATACATGATGGTTTAAGGCTTAAACTTGACATGCAATAACACTCGGGTGATCCGTGGTGCGCACTAAGTGTGCGACCACACTCCCTCGACCAACCCATTAACATGACTAAATTCATCCGAACACTTAAGTTTAATTAAACATGATTTTACACATAAAAGCTAAGTATGCGAGGGTACTCGGTGAACATAGCTAACTTAACATATGGAGCATGCATGCACGGCCCGTGGTGCGCTACGTGCGCAACCACGTTACCCTCGGCCGAACACTTCAAACGTGAAATATCGTCCGAACATTAAGGCTAATCTAAACATGAAATTTCACATAAAAACTAAGCATGCAAGATTGTTCGGAGAATTCGATGAAAATCATAACATGATTCGGATTAATAACTTAAAATATATCATGAATGGCACGGCTATGGCTTAACACGCATGCATGAACAAATAAATTCTAATCTTAAATAAACATGATATTCTAGGGCAAAAGCCGACGGGAACTTACCTCGTATTAAACTCAAGAGGTTAGTAGACTCGGAACCGTGCTCTCGGTCGTGCCTCCACGTGCGTGGCGTTGCTTTGCGTGCGCGGACCGTCGCGTGTGCTGCTACTTCGCGTGCGTCTCGCGGCTCGCGTACGAGTGTTACTTGCGTGCGGTACGCCGGACTGCTGCTCGCGTACGGAACTCTCGGTAATTCTCACGAAAACACACTCCAATCTCACTAACGCTCTCTATATCTCGGCACTTATGAACTCAGAGGAGGAAATGGAACAAAACTTTCCCAAGTCTCCCATTAAATCTTGAGGGCCGAAAGCATAAGGAGTGGGAGGGAGACATTTCGGTCAAAGCGTGCACACTTGCTACACATGCACCAAGGGTGCGGACACAACACACTAGAAAACAAAATGCCATGCAAGACTCACGGCATTATGGAGCAATGGGAGGAATCTCGGACCAAGTTTCAAGCACTCACATGGGCACGGCATGGGACACTCCGCCCGGCTAGAGGACAAGGGGAACAATGGGCACGGATACTCACGGAAAATGTCTAGCAAGAAGACAAATGGAGCGCACGGACTTGGAGAGCAATGAGACAAAATGGGCGCACGGTCTTCCACAAGCCCTCGGA